TAAAAGAGGACTTAGAGGGGATAGCCAGAGGTTTTCACACTCCAGAGAGGACTGTGTCCACAGCTTTCTCCAATGCAGCTGTCCCAGGGCATCAGAGGAGAGGAGAAGGCAGGTTGGGTGCAAAAATAAGAACGAAAATAAGAACGAAGACCCCAGAGCAATGACAAGAGAGAGCTGGAGCCTCAGGGAGCAGCTGCAGAGCTCCTCGCTGCAGGTGCTGGAGATGCTGAGCACCCATAGGGCTTCAAGGGGACCCTAGACAAGAGAAATTCGTGTCGTGGTGAACAAAAGGCTTGGAAAAATTTCATTCCAGCTGGAAAGGGCTGGAGGTTGCAGGAGGACTCCAAAGGATGCACTGCATGAGCCTGTCCTGCTCTCCTTCTGCTCCCTGCACCTGCTCTGAGCAGGAGCTGAGGGCCCTGGTCTGTCTCAGTGTGGCTGTGCTGACAGCTTCCACAGGATCCTTTGGGCTAGAAAAGTCTTCTGAGGTAATCAAGTCCAACCATTCGCCCAGCACAAACCACCACTGACCATGTCCCCGAGTGCCACATCCACTTGGCTGTTACATCCCTGCAGGGATGTAACTCCAACCCTGCCCTGAGCAGCCATGCCAGGGCTGGACAGTCCTTTCCATGGAGAAATATTCCCTAATAGCCAACCTAAGCCTCCCCTGGGGCAACTTGAGGCCATTTCCACTTGTCCCCTGGGACAGCCTGACCCCACCTGGCTGCACCTCCTGCAAGGAGTTGGAGAGAGCAACTCCTCAGGTCCTCCCTGAACCTTCTTTTCTCCAGGCTGAGCCCCCCCAGCTGCTCCTCATCAGCCTTGTGCTCCAAACATTCCTTGGGCAGTAACTTGCAGGGCAATGGGATTGCATTTGGCAAGACCAGTAGAAACAAGGAGCACATGGGTTCCTGATCCACACTGGGGGTTCCCTGTCACAATGGGAAGGCAGAGAAGTCATGCACAGAGATGGTCCCAGCCTGAGTGACACATCTCAACACCTGTGGCATCAACCCCAGGGCAGTTTATCTATCCCAGGGATGGGCTCCTGCTCCTTGGAAGCAGCATTCCTGTTGCTCCCAGGTACAGCTTTGCAGCTGGGAATGTTTGGAGAGCACAGCCCAAGGGCCTAGGCTCCAGTGGGTGTGCAGTGCCATGCTGGCAGCACAGAGAGGTTGGGGAGCAGCCAACACCATCCCCAGCAGCATGGAGAGTCAGGCACAGAGCACTGGGGATCCCCTCGAGGCACAACTCCTCCCCAGACACCCAAACAGCCTCTGACGTACAGAACTCTGTTTTCCCCAAGTGCTGAGCAGGGCTGGAACTCACAGCTCTGCCCAGAAGCCACAGGTTTGGTTACATGCCAACAGTGCCAAAACTGAGCTAGGAAGAAGCTCTGTGGATGGGATGGAGAGATTCTCATGGAAAATAACACTGGAGAAGTAAAGGGAACTGACCTGAAGTCACCTGAAGCTTCACTTGGCCCCCACAACCAACAGCTATGGGCAGCTGGGATTTCTGCTGGACACACCAGCACTGGAAGTGCCTTTCTGGATGGAGATGGCCCTGACACAGCCAAGTCACCAGGGTTGGGGCAGCCACAGCCTCCCTGGGCAACCTGTACCAGGGTCTCACCACCCTCACGGGGAAAAACTTTTTCCTAATACCTAATCTAACCTTCCCTCTCTCCATTTCTCCCCATTCCTCCTTGTCCTGTCCCTGCAGCTCCTAACACAGATCCCTCTGCAGCTTCCCTGGAGCCCC